CTCACTATAGGGCACACATGCTGTGCCTGAGATCAGATCGAGGCAGAGGCTTGGAAACCAGGGCTGTCCTGTTGATGCCTTCAAGTGGAAAGGCCAGAGCAAAGCTATGCATTCAGAGAGCTTTCTCAAATATCAGCAGGGAAAGGAGATTAGAATGTCAAGACACAGGGTTCAGACTGACACTTTATTTGATTATTATTAACTATGTAACAAGAAAGTAAAGAGGGAACTCTTGTATTAATATATAATAAGGACTTCTGGTTCATAAAATAAATTATTTGGGAGCCTCAAAAATTTAGTTGTTTTTTTTTTTTTTTAGTTAGTATAAAACCTTCAGGGGCTACACACTATTCGAGGTGCTGGGGTGTGGAAAAGTGAAAAAGACAAAATCTTTTTTGAAAAGAGCTACAAAAGACAAAAAAAAAGAGACAATGTCGTTGCTGTCATGGGACAGGATTGGGATAAAGTAGACGAATAATTATACAGTGTTGGGTCAGTTAATGATGAGAGATGGGATGGAAAATAAAGTAGAAGTGAAATGACGGTTAGTAAGTAGTGAGTAAGTAAGTAAGAAGTAAGATGGGGCAGACAGATTATTTATAAGGGATACTCAGGAAAAGCCTCTTCCAGGAAACGAAGTGGGTTCAAAGACCTGGCTGTAGTGATGGAGGAGGCCGCGTAAATATTTAGGGAAGTAGCATGCCGGGAAAGGGAACAGCAGGGAAGTGGCATAGTAGAGGTATGCCCATGCCGTGGAGGAGAAGCTTGGAGAGGCATGCAACCTGGACTGGCTTCTCAGGGAAGACTTCCTGGAGGAGTGGACACTTGAGCTGAATCTTAGAACGTGATGTTGATTACTGAGTCCAGGAATGGGGAGACATCTTTCCAGCAGAAGGAGCATCATATGTTTAGAGACAAGAAAATACGAAGATGTCTTGGGTTGTGTTTGCATAAACGTGGTGGCCAGTGAGAAGGGAAAGGGTCAGAATGGTGCAGTGAAAGATCCACTAACTTGGTCACCGATGGCCGTGAATGTCACTCTCAAGAAGGATGCTACCCAAGAATCCTAAGCAGGATGCAATGGGATGCAGGGTGGGGATTGGAAGCAAGAGGACAGGAGGTGGCAGACCTTCTGTGAGGATACTTATAATAAAGATAATTAAAATTAAGAGGAAGTGATGGAACAGAACAAATGGTATAGTCAGGAGACCTTGAGACTGTGACCTTGGAGGGACAGCAGGGAGGTTACTGCTCCACTTGCTACTCCAAACTCTCCGGTCCACTTTTTTCTCCAGCTCCAGGCAAAACTCCATTGGAAGTGGAATAAGACTTTCCAGTTTATACTATGAAGAAAAATCACCTCTGATGTCTCACTGGTCACAGCCCAATGGTTTCAATGAGCCATCTTTTGCGGTGCAGGAGATTCAGGCAGAAGAAGATGGGAGAAGGTAGAAGTCACTTCAAGCCCAACTTAATGAGGCCAACGAGGTTGCAAAGAAGCTAGGTAAGCCCCCATGTCCCTACCTCAAATCCTAACCCACCCCTTGTGAAGTCTTTCATCTCTGAAACAGAGATAATTTAATACAGTATGGCAATGTTAGGAGTTACAAGCAAAAACGTGGCTTCCTAGTTCAGTGCCGGTTTTTGCAGGGTAGAGCGATGTGGTCATGGACGTGGCAGCTGAGCAGCACATGAGCGTGTGAGAGAGGAACCCTTTAATGTGGTATTCCCAATACTTATACATTACACCTTTTGTTATTGTCCTACGGTCCTTGGGTATTTTGTTCTATATTTTTCTTTCTTTTTCCTCTCTGATTTGCAGTTTTTGAAGTTTCTGTTGATGTCTTCAAGCTCCTTGATTCTTTCCTTGGCTGAGTCCAGTTTGCTGATGAGTCCGTCAAAGGCCCTCTTCATTTCTGTTGTGGTGTTTTGATCTCTAGCCTTTACTTTTGATTCTTAGAGTTTCCATCTCACTGCTCTAACGACCAGTCTGCCAATCTGTTCTTGCATGTTGTCTGCTTTTTCCACTAGCACCTTTCGAATGCCAATCATAGTAGTTTTAAAGTCCCAGCCTGCCAATTCCAACATCTCTGCAATATTTGAATTTGGTTCTGATGTTTGCCCTGGCTCTTCAATCTGTGGGGTTTTTTGTCTTGTTCTGTTTTTTGTTTTGTTTTGGCCTTTTAATATGTCTTGCCAAATTTTTGTTGTTGTTGCTGCAAATCTGACATGAAACGCTAGAGCAAAGGAACCCGGTACTGGTTCCTGCAAAGTTGTCTTCTTCTGACCTTCAACTCCAGTAGAGTGTGATTTTCTGTCTACCTGTCTGTCTCTTCCATTTTGGGGGCGAGGTTTGCCCTCTGATGTCAGTTTTCTCGTGGATCTAAGAAGCACTGTTCATTTTCATTCTGTTCATCTTTGCTCCTGTTGTGTGGATGGGAGATGACTTCCAAGTTCCTTACATGTGGACCTGGATACCCAAAGTCCTTGATTTGGAATTGTATTCATCAGAAGCTGATAAACAATTTTAAGGAAACTGATTTTCGAATTTTGGAAGGAGCGCTTTTAAGGATGTCAGGAAAGAATGAGGCCTTTGCCTTCAAAGGAAGATTCCCTACAGACACAGTGAACTTTGGAGGACTCTCCCTTCCATTTTGCAGATAAGGACCTGGAGGTTCAGAGAGATAAACTGATTTTCTCATGATCACACAGCCAATAATAGATCTGGAGATTGAGTGCTGGTCTCCTGATAGTAAGTTCAGTGTTCTTTCTGGGGCCCATATATCTCCCGGGTCTATGCTCCTGAGGGTCCTTTAACCTTCATTCATAGAGGGGATAGTTATCACTACAAAGAATCTGGAGGAGGGGCATGTGTGGCCTTACTGGAGGGGAAGACGGAGAGGAAATGCTAGAATGATTCAGAACCAGAAAGAAACACCAAAAGCGGAGGAAGAGATGTTTTGAAAAGGAAAAGGGCTACGGGAGCCAATGGGAGCCCGTGGGCTGTCCGGCCACTCCCCGGCCGTGCCCCGGCTCCGCCTCTGCCGCTCAGATCCCTCCGCCCGCCCTAGCGTCATTTCGTCGGGCAAGCGGCGGTCAGTTGGAGCGGCTGGCAGCCCTGCGGCTTTCCAGAGCGACCGCGGCCCTGCTTGCCGCGGCCAGCGGCGGCGGCGGCTGCAGCGGCG